GATTGGACATGGGCAGTGACCCGGTGGTGGTGTGGGCTGTTGAGTCCATTCTGACTCACGGTGACCCTATAGGACAGAGTGGAACTGCTCTCTCTACCTTCTCCTGTCTCTTCCTCTCTCTTCCCTGCACTCTCCACCCCCTCAACCTCCAAAGGGGTGTGTGTGTGTGTTTGTGTGTATGCATTCAGCCAACAAAAATTATCTGGTACATTGTTAGGAATTTGGTTTTGGATGATGTTGGTAAGTCCCTTGTTGATTATCCCCATTTAGCAAATGAAGACATGAACTCTGTATGGGAGAAGCAAGGGCCACTCTGAATAATAACCACCGTGGATAACAGTCATTACATGATCCACACCTCTTGCAGTCGTGCTTTGGGAAGAAGTGTGCTTTGGTAGCTTCTTCTTCATTTATGGTGCCATGACATTCAACTTTACCTTGACATTTGACTGTGTCTTACCATTCCACCAGTTCGCATTCTCAAGATTCCACAGAATAGTTGACTTTCCCAAGCCAACTTAAGTCCTCAAATTAACTTTGCCATGGACTCTCTTTGACCCATGTGGGTCATACCTCTTAACTTGATTCTGCGCCCCTCTTAGTTTACATGAAAGAAATGGATATGATGCTAACTGACCCCATGGGGTGCTGGATGAGAATAAATCTCCAAGTGAGAGCTTCATTGTACGTTGAGTGCCATAAAAATGTTCAGTATAATGGCTGATTATTTTTCTTTAATCTTAAATGGCTACCCAGAATGGAAAAGTCCAATCTTGGGAGGAGAAATTCATTATCTCGGAAAGAGTTTAATGGCTGCTGTGAAAATGAACTGGATGAAGTTAAATTGTGGAATGGGAAGGAGCTGAGAAAAGTGAAATGAGTTGTGCATTAAATTTAGATAAACACAATTATGTGTAACTGGATTATCACACATGCAGGCAGGCGATGTACATTATACACCTGTGCTTTGATTAAAATCGATTCAGGTGCATGCGCTTAGCATTCTTGAAGAGATGAGGTTGTGTGTATGCCACTGTCCGGGCACATGAGGGGCAGGCAGAGAGATGTCGTATCCATATCCCGAGTTGGAGGAGTCTAAGTGGGCTATGGGCCAGGTCTGGCCATCCAGGCTTCTTCAGACAACCCTTTACCAAATTATAGGCAGAGCCTAAACGTGCTGTGCGTTGCACTGCTAACGTAAATGCCAGTGGTATGAATTTGGCAGTTACTCTATGAGAGAAAGACGAGTAATCTCCCCTTGGAAAGATTTACTGTCTTGGAAATCTTTACAAGAGGAGATTTCAGAGTTGTCATGAATTGATATTGATCAAAAGACAGTGAGTTTAATTTTGGCATGGCTCTGAAAGAATCCTTGTGGAAGAGTCGGTGAAGCTCTTGTTTGCTAAGCAAAAGGTTTGAAACCAACAGTTAGATCACAGGAAAAAGATGAAGAAGTCAGCCTCTGGAAAGTTCTGCTTTGTCCTGTGGGTCAGTATGAGTTGAAATTGGCTCAGTTGCAAGGTTTGTGTGTTTGTTTTGCGTATGGCTTTGTGTACAAGGTCTGATGGTGCAATTCTTAAGGACCTGGACATTAAGCCAAAAGTCAGTGCTGTTCAAGCCCATTGGTCAGCCATTCCAAAGGAGAAATGTTGTTGTCGTTGTTGTCATCGTCGTTGTGTACCGTCAAGTCGGAATCGATGGGTTTTCAGAGGCAATTAATTGCATGGGAGGAGATTGCCCGTCCTCCCATGGAGCAGCAGGTGGGATTCAAACCACGTGCCTTTGGGATTGCAGCACAGTTTCAAGCCATGAGGCCACCAGAGACATTGATGTCTGTTTAAATGAAAGATTTACAGTCCTAGAAACCATAAGGGGCGGTCCTTCTCTATACTCTAGGGTTTTTGGAGTTTGAGTTGACATCGGTGACTTGATGACCGAGGAATCCTGATGCCCCAGTGGCGAAGAGCATGGCAAAAGGTTCAAGCCCACTATCTGCTATGTGGGAGTAACGTGGAACAATCTGCTTCCAAAAACAGTGCAGCCTTGGCGAGCCAAAGGGGTGCTTCTGCCATGTCACGATGAGCTGGAATCAACTCAGTGGCAAAAGATTTTATGACTGACGTGCACAAAATCTGTATTTCATCTTAAACTTTTGTCAGGAAAGTGGTTCTAGAATCAACTGGGATCCTAAAAATATATTTACTCCACAGGGACTGTAGATAGGAGGGGACAGGTGCTCAGAGAGGATGCTGGGGACTGAGCTGGCCACTTAGCTCTTTATAACTGCTACTGCCCTACCATGCGTGCATCCTTGAGTGGCACAAATTGTTTGCTTTATGCTCCTAATCTAAATTAGTGGTTTGAATCCACTCAGTGACACTATGGAAGAAAGATCTGTCACTCTGCTTTTTTTTTTTTACATTTTTTAATTGATTTGCTTACAAAGGTTATATATATTGTGTTTCACACTATTCTTAATTCATACTGTGTTTTCATACAATCCTTCTCATGTATTGTTTTATAAAATTAATCACCATTGAAACTTGTCCATCATTATTATCCTGGTTTTTTTTCTCCCAGATCCTTCCCATTTACTGTCCCCCTCCCTCCACCCACCAAACTGTGCAGCCCTGTGGTTTCACGCCTACCTGTCCTCACCTCTCTGCTCCCACACCATTTCCAGTTTGGTCACCATATGTGTTTTACTAGTTACTATTTTTACCATGATGGTCTTATGTCTTAAGCGGTTTTTGTCCTTATGAGACTGCATTAATTCACTCAGCCTTGAGTGGCACACATTGTTTGCTTTAGGTTGCTCATCTAAAGTTAGTAGTTTGGGTCCACTCAGTGTCACTATGGAAGAAACATCTGCCAGCCTGCTTTGATTTATTATCTCAAATACACGTGGAGCTCAGTTCTACTCTGTAAGCAAGGGATTATCATGGGTTGGGAATGACGTGAAGGCAGCTGACTTAAGCCCCTACTGATGGGAGCACAGTATACCTTCCGACCTTTCTTATACACAGAACCAGCACTAATGCCTTCTCACCCTTTTGGGTTCAATCCTGTAAATCAGTAAAAAATAAGCACAGTCTCTGATTTCTAGGTTCCCTCCCCTTGAACGCACAGTTACTATGGAGTTGATTCTGACTCATGCCAACTTCCTTAGTGTCAAAGAACTACTCCCTAAAATTTCCAGTGGCTGATTTTTCGTGTGTGTGTGTGATTTTATTTTATATTGGTTTATATACAAAATTCATATACCTTGTTTTGGGTTCAAGCACGTTGTGCTCCACATATTCATTCACATTGTGTTTACATACAATAATTAATATACATTGGCTTTTATGAAATCAGTCACCATTGATCTAAGCCTACCATTAGGCATCTTTTCAGAGCCCATGAGATCATTCCCATTCCTTCACTGTAACCCCCCAATCCGCCCACCAAAGTTTGCTAACATAGGGATTCCTTCCCCTATCTAGAGTCTGCCCCCTTACCTCCCTCCCTTTCCCCTTTTGAACATAAACACACATCTTACTAGTTATCTGTTTTTACAGCAGTGATCTTAGACAGCATTTATGAGACTGAGTTTACTCAGCATAGTGCTCCCCAGACTGTTTCATGTTATATTTTATGAAATCATTGCACCTTTGTCCTGCATTGTATACAACAACTTCTCAATCCATTTGTTTGTTGATGGGCATTTAGGCTGGATTTGTGTTGTGGGTTTTTTGTTTTGTTTTTTTTTTCATTTTCTCAATTTTAAGGATAACACTGCCATGGACATAGGTGTACCAATCTCCATTTGCGTCTCAGGTCTCTTTTCCTTGGGATATATTTATCGCAGTGGAATAACTGGGTCATATGGGATCTCTATGTTCACCTTTTTGAAGAAACTGCAAATTGCATTCCTGAGTGGCTGCATCATAATATAATCTCATTAAGTGGCTGTTTTTTTGAAAGGAGATCATCAGACCTTTCCTCCAAAGCACCTATGAGTGGAATTGGAGTCCCAACCAAGAGTATTAGCTGTATGTACCAGCCCATCACTCCCCAGGTGGCCTTTCTGGTGAACAGCACTTGCTGGCTTGTGTGTGACTTTGAGGGAGGACAGATACAGGGAAACAACAGTCAATACCCAATTAATTCCTGTTGGCATCTTTTATTTCAAATGCAAAGCATCATCAGGATTAAAATAAATGCCACCAGTTATAGGGCTGCATCAAATTAATGATTTTCCCCTCCCTTTTGTTTGATCCTATAATACCCCTCAACTCTGAGGATAAATGCTAAGCCTACCTCTGGGTGATTTGAGATGCACTGCATATTGTTACAAGGCACGCTGGTGGTGCAAGTGTTTAAGTGCTTGACTGCTAACCTAGCCTGCTTCTGTAATTATTCACGGCATCAGAGAGTTGGACAATGACTAGGCAGGAGAGAAGGAGAATTGATGCCCTTGAGCTTTGGTGCTGGAGAAGAGTATTGAGGGTACCATGGACTGCTAGGAAAACAAACAGATTCATCCTGGAGAGGGTTGAACCAGGCTGCTCCTTGGAGGCAAAGATTCTGAGGCTTTGTCTGACATACTTTGGATATGTTGTAAGGAGGGACCGGTCCTTGGAGAAGGACATCATGCTTGGGAGGGTGGAGGGACAGCGCAGGAGGGGAAGACCCCCTATGAGGTGGATTGATTCAGTGACTGGGGTAATTGGGATGTGTGTGTTGGAGACAGTGCGCTTGGCACAGGACAGAGCAGGGTTTAGGGCTGTTGTACAGAGGGTCACTGTGAGTTGCAAGCGACTCAACGGCACATAACAACAGCAACATGGAAACCCTATGGGACAATCAATCTCCAGCTTCTTGGGTTGCTAAGAGTTGGCATCAATGCAATGATGGTGGGTTTGGTTTTGGTTGCTGTATTGCTGCATACACTAAAGTCAACTTTCTTTTTGTTTCCTCCTGGTCCTCTCCCACCTTCATCCCCACCCCACTTGCAGGTCATCCTAATCCTGACGAAGCTGTATGACTTCAACCTAGGGAGTGTGACTGAGAGTTCATTGTGGAGGTAAGTCGATTTAAGATCCTTACGGCGCTCCTCTGGCTTATTTACCTGAAAAATACAAGCTGAACAGTTGGGAAACTCCTCTGGGAAGAAGTAGAAAGCCCTTCTCCTCCAGCACGCCCCAGGTGGAACCCCTGGCTCCTACCTGAGAATTCCCCTCGTGCTCTGCCCGGCTCTTTTTGGAGACCTGTAGCACGTCTGTCTTGTGGTGGTGTTGCCTCTGCCTTCCTGCAGCGTCTCCTCCAACCTGACTAACACAGTGTCTGGTTAAGACAAGCTTCCCCAAAAGAGCCAGGGAACACAGATAGGGTGGAGAGGGTCCTGCTTTGGAGAGAGTCTTGGATCAGGAACTGTTTGCGTATGTCTGTCAAATGCACTCCCAAGGCCTTTGCATCTGTAAGATGCTGTGGTTCTTGAGAGGAGGATGGTGGTGATGGGAACAAGATACCTGGAGAAATCAGGGCCGAATGATGTTGTCCGTGATCACTGCACGCTTCTGTCTTCGTGGTTCCCTCCCACCACACACACACACACACACACACACACACACACACACACATACACACACACACACACACACACACACACACACACACACACACACATCTACGTGTTCACACGTGTGCTCACGCTCACATACATTCACACAGCCCAATAGCCAGTGTCCCAGCCCCTTGGACATGCTGTTTCAGGCCGAGAGCCCCGTGCATCCCTATCCTGTTGGCTCTGCTGTGTAAACGCTCGGTAGGAGTCTGTCACCAAAGGTGGCGTTGTCATCCCCGTGCCCTGTCCATAGGGTTTCCCTGGGTCTTGGAGCATCGTAGGCTGGGACTTGTCTGCCTGCCTTGCTTCTTCCTCTGACCTGTTTATTTGCGTAACATGAGCCGGAGCCTCTCTCCCAGGGAAGGCGAGCAGTCAGAGCATCTATTAAATATGTAGGGGTTAATTGCTCATATCGACTGTGGCCTCCCTCATTTTGCACAATGGTGTGTAGAACCTAATTTTGCTGCTCGTTGAAAATGGGCAGAGGTGTAAGTAAGCAGGTGGCACATAAAGATGAGACCTGACGATTTCCGCTCACGTGGTTCTTCTCAGGGAATTAGAGCCTCCGAAAACCTCCCTGCAAGTGCAAACACAATGACATTTGGTGGCGCAGCTCTTGTGTTACTGGCTGCTTGGAGCAAGTAATGCCATGAGCAATCTAATCCTTACTGAGAAACAGCTTTTTTATGTATCAGGATGCAGCCAGCCCTAGCACCCCAGGTTTCAGAGAACTTTGGCTAGCTCTCTAGGGGTGGAGAAGACAAACCTGCGAAACGCAGGCCAATTGCTTAGAGCATGAGACCCTTAGATTATAAAGTATATGTCCCACTGCAAGTGACTCTTCATACTAAATGCCTGAATTAGGATACTTGCAGACACACCTGTTATTATTATTAAGCCTACCTGTTATTTATACCCCAGCCACAAGTATAGGAGTTTTCGGAGCCAAGATAATTCTCAATTTGGGGCTCACATTATGTACACCTCAGGATACACTTTGCAGACACACTGCCCCACAAGCCTACCTGTTCTTTAGACCCCAGCCACAAGTGTAGGAGTTTTCAGAGCCAAGATAATTGTCACTTTGGGGCTCACATTACATATACACCAGGATAAATTTTGGGGTCCCTGAGACACCAACTTCCCTGATCAGCTAGTTTTAAACTTGAGTGTTTTTCTTACCCTCCAGGACATCAGCTACAAATTTGAGTGTTTCTATGATACCCTCACTTTTGACCACATGGTTAAAAAGGTTGAGGTTCCCACTGCCTTCCTCAGACTTGATAACCAGCTAAGATGACTCACAGAACTGGCTGATAGCAAGTATTTACCATCACAGGTTCTTTGTAGCGAAACAATGCAAATCTGAAGCAGTCAAAGGAAGTCATGCAAAGGGCAAGACCAAGCCAGATCACAAATGCAAAGGGGTCTGTGTCCACAGGGACGTGCCTTAGTCACAGTACCTCAGTGTGTGTGGAATATTGTCAATCATGATGCTTCCCAGAGCCTCTGTGCCCTGAGTTTTTTTAATTTTTTTATTTCCGTACTTAGGCTTGAGTGACTGATACATTGGCCATGTGATGGTACTCAGTCTCTAGCCCCTTCCTTCTCCTGGGAGGTCTAATTGTCGTTCTTCTAGAGAGATCTCATTAGTATAAACTTCCAGGTGTTATTCAGATCCACCATGAATAACACAAACACTCCATTCACTAGGGAAATTCCTACTGCTGAGTGTTTATCTCCCAGAAACCTGGGACAATCCACTGCTGTGGAGTGGATTTCAACTCTGGGTCTCTTTGGTGCAGTAGATTATCCAGTATGGCCTTTTAAAGCTATTGTCTGTGTACCCTCATCACATGGCTCTATGTTGTTAGGTGTTATTGATTTGAGTATGACTCATAGCAATCCTGTGAACAGACCTGAACTCTGCCCTGTCCTGTGCCATCCTTATCGTACCTGACACTCTAGAACTCGTTGCTGACTCTCTGTGTCAATTCTTCTCATAGGGAATCCTCCCCTCCTTTGCTGACCCTCCATCTTTCCAAGCATGATGTCCCTTTCCAAGGAATAGCCTACTCTAGCTTCATGTCCAGAGTGAGATGAGAGATGAAGCTTTGCCGTCTTTGTCTCCAGGGAGCCCCCTGCCTGCACTTTCTCCAAGAAAGTGTTCATTTGTTTGTTCATTTGAAATTCCAAAGAATAGACAGAAGTCTTCTCCAGCTCCACAACTCAAAGGTATTAATTATGCTTCTGTCATCCTTTATTGCCAGCTCTCTGATGGGTGGCAGGTGATTGAGAAGATCATGATCTGAATCAGACACACCTTAGTCTTCAAACTAATATCACTGCTTTTCAATATTTTAAAGAGGTCCCCGACAGCAGACTTGTCCATTGCAATGTTGTAGTTGTTGTTAGATGCCATTGAGTCAAATATGGCCCCTAGCGACCCTATCAACAACAGAACTGAACCCTGTCCTATCCTATGCCATCCTTACACTTTTGACACGTTAAATAGAGCCCATTGCAGCAGTCAATGTGTCAGTCCACTTGATCGAGGATCTTCTCCTTCGCCAACCCTCTACCTTTCTGAGCATCATCTCCCTCTACAGAGAATAGTCCCTTCTAGCAACATGCCCAAAGTGTGTGAGGTGAAGTCATATCATCCTTGTCACTGAAGAGCACTCCGGCTGCACCCTTTTAAAAACATGTTTGATTTGTTCGTTCTTTTGGCCATCCATGGGATGTTTAGTGCTCTTCTCCAACAGCATACCTCAAAGGCATCAGTTCTTCTTTTGTCATCCTTATTCGTTGTTCAGTTCTCAGATGCATAACAAGTGATCAGAAAGACCATGGCCTGAATTAGACGCAACTTAGGCCTCAAACTGACATCATTACTTCTTAATAATTTGGAGAGGACCTAATTGCAGACTTTTCCAGTGCAGTCTCTCTCCTGATTTCCTTACTGCTGGTACTGAGGGTGTTCATTATGGATCCAAGTAAGATGAAGTTGTTGACAGTTAAACCTTTTCTCCATCTATCATGATGTTGCTGTTGCCTCTTGGTCCAGTGGTACAAATCTCTGTCTTCTTGGTATTGAGATGCAGTCTGTATTGAAGACTATATTCTTTGATCCTCTGCAAAAAGTGATTCAGGTCCTCACTTTCAGTAAGCAAGGTTGTGCCATCTGCATAACACAGGTTATTAATGAGTCTCCTTCCAATCGTGACACTACATTCTTCTTTCCTAGAGTCCAGCTTCTTGAATAATTTGTTCAGGATACAGATTGAATGGACATAGAGAGATAATACAACTCTGATGGACACTTTTCTTATTTTTAAATCATATTTTTAACACCCCCTTGCTTTGTTCATATAACAGCCTCTTGGTCTAGTTCTTGGTTTCATATGAGCACAACTGAGTTCTCTGGGATTCCCTTTCTTCTCAGTGTTAGCCATAACTTGTTATAATCCACACAGTCAAATGCCTTTGCGTAGTCAATAAAGAATAAATGGACCTTCTTCTGGCATCCTTTACTTTCAGCCAGGTTTCGTCTGACATCAGCAGTGATATCCCTGATACCACAGCCTTTTTTAAATCCTGCTTGAACTTCTGGCAGTTCCCTATGTATGTACTGTTCTAGCTCTTTTTCTTTAGTAGTATTTTGCTTGCATGTGACATTAATAATACTGTTCTATAATTTCCACATTCAATTGGATCACTTTTTTTTTGAAATGGGAACAAATATGGACCTCTTTTAATCTGTTGACCAGATAGCTGTCCTCCAGATTTCCTGGTATAAACTGCTGAGTGCATCAAAGGCTGCATGAATTAATTAAACCAAGTCAGTTGGTATCCCGTTGATTCCTTGTATTTTTGCCAGTGCCTTCAGTGAAGCTTCTGCTTCCTCCTTCATTACCATTGGCTCCTGCTCATATGGTACTTCCTGAAATTTTTTAATGTCACTTCTTTTTTGGTACAGTGATTCTCCATCTTCTTTTGATGCTTTCTGGATTATTCAATATCTTGCCCATGGCATCTTTCAGTATTATGACTCGAGGCTTAAATTTGTTTTTTTTCCAGTTTCCTCAGCTTGAGAAATGTAGAGCAAGTTCTCCCATTTTTATTCTCCAATCCCAGCTCTCTGTACATTCCATTATAATACTTTGTTTTGCCTTTGCAAGCTGTCCTTTGAAATCTTCAGTTCACCTCTTTTACTTCAGTATGTTTGCCTTTTAGAGTCTTTTCTGACATCTGTTTTGCCTTTTTCTTTCTTCTCTGTCTCTGTAATTACCTTTTGCTTTCTTCATGGATGGTATCCCTGATCTAATCCCATAACTCATCTGGACTTTGATCATTGGTGTTTATCCTTCAAATATATCCTTAAGATGTTCTTGAAACCTGGATGGAATAGATTCAAGACCATATCTTGGTTCTTGTGGACTAATTTTCATTTTCTTTTA